GGAGAAGGCACGGAGCCAAATCATGCTTATCTTAGCAAGGAAATTGTCCACGTCTTTCCATGATATTTCTTTTCCCCCACGATATTTTGTCAAAGCAGAAGTAGCCACAGCATCTAGAGCTAAACAGTGACAAATGGCAATGGATGCTCTCAGTGTGACAATAATGGAGGCAAAGAGTTGAGGGAAAATATGAAAGGAAAGTTAGGAGAGACACAGGAGGATGAAAGACCTATATGCATATATCTAATAGTTTCTGGAAAGAAAAACTAGAGGAAATCAAGGACGGCTGACACGCAAAGGGCTAATGACAGACGCCTCAGACAGAAACGCGATCTCAAGCAGGATGCCACATCTCGACACGCCCCGGTAATAGGACGAAAGACCAAAGGCAAAGAGATCTGAACAGCAACAAGAGAGACAGGGCAGACCCCTTCAGAGCACCGAGCGACAGGCAGAAAGCTGAAGCCAGAAGACGATGGAATCTAGCAACACGACGGGCTAAGAAAAAATGACTCAGAAGCAGGACGGTGCGCCTAGCGAAACCATCACGTGAAAATGATGAAAAAAATCTATTTACAGACAGAAAGAAACGAGTGATTTTTCGAATAGATCTGCAGTAAAGGAAGTGTTTCAAGAAAGAAGAAAATGGAATCCAGAAGGAAGAGCTGAAATAAGCAACGAAAGGAATAAATATGCCAGGGCAGCCGAACGAGCCGTCGCTAAATAAAAGTTACGATTAATGCGAGGGGTAATAAAACCAGGCGAGACTGAAATGTCGGGCGAAAATACCGTGTCGGATTGGATGAGTGATTACAGCGAAAGTGTTCTAAAATTTTTAATATTTTATACGAAACGTTTGGGGAAAGGATAGAAAAACTGTAGAATTTTCGAAACTGCGTTAAGTACGTATGTTAGAATTTTAAGGACAACCACTAAAAACTAGGCAGTTTTCAAAGAGTTAAAGGGAAAGTTTAATTCAAAATAATAGAGGAAATGGAAATTTCGAAAAAGGGATAAACAGACAATCTCAAATAAGATGGTAAACTAATTCAAAATGTCAATAACTAAAGATAAATGAACTAAACTTGCTAGTTAAAAGCTGAAAGTTGTCAGTTGTCAGTTGTCAGATTTTTTTTTTTTAATTAAAGACAACCTGATGCTACTTATGAGACATACCTAAAACACAAGGACTTATATTTAAAATAAATGGATAGAGAAAGAAGTAGCAAGCAAATATTTACCAAAAGAAAATGAAGATAGCCTCATTAATAGGGATAAAAGACTACTTTATAAGACATCGAACTTGCTAACAATGAAAGGTATAGAGTTTTGAACCTGGTGCACCTAACAACACAGCCTCAAAACTGATTAAAGCTCCCCTGTTGGGACCATCATCTCATTCACAGAAAGAGAATAAGACACACTAAGGAAACAGCGTTGTGGGCATTCGGGGAAACGCTAAACGTGAAAGCGAGTCACGAAAATAGAAAACACTCCCAGGAGTGGGTGGCGATTATTCGAGAGAAGGACATCCACCGTGCGCCACGGAGAACGGTCTGGCCTGACAGTCTGATCCAGCAGGGCTTCTGGAAGCTTCTGGATCGCTCTGAGGTCAAAGATGCTTTGAAAAGCTCATGAAACCTACAGACCCTCTGCCCATCCCAAACTGCACACCTGCAGAGAACATTACAAATGGTATCAGGGGTTTGGCAGGGCGCCCCGAAGGACGCCCCTGACATCGTTAGGGTCGCTGATAGGCAGAGACGAAGGTGAGGCACCTGGGAGCCACGTCACGGGAGGGCTGTCTGAGGACACTGGCGGCTTGTCTTGGAGAAAAGCTGAGTCTCTGGAGGTCTGAGAGCTGCCCTCTTCTCCCTGGAGGACCTCGTGAGTCTTGTTCTCGGCAGGTCTCGGGGGCAGAACAGAGGTCAGGGAGTGGAGCTTCAGCTCGCTAAGTAACATCTCTGCAACGGAAAGGGTCCCCAGAGGAGCGGCGAGGACCCTGCAGAAGGGGCCCCTGCCTCCAGAGGGATGCTAGATCCCGCGACCTCAGGCTCTCCTTCTGAGCCCCTGGAACCTTATGGGTCAGTCGGGGAAGGATCGCGCGTGGGGACAGTCCTGCCTTCCTCCCTCCTTCCTGCCACAACCGCTTACTGAGCCCCTACTGCAGGCCAAGCCCCGTGCTAGCTGGAGATGCATCGGTGGCATTTTTACCTCTAGCGAGGGACTCAGACAAGGAACAAAATAACAGGAGAGAGATAAACAAAATGCTGAGACAAAAATAGAGGGAGGAGACAGACGCTGCCGGAGAGCTGAGCGGGGAGCTCATGAGTAGGGGTCATGAAAGGGACGATTTGTGAGCCGAGACCTGAATGGCATGGAGGAGCTGAGTGCAGATGAGCGAGGTCCCGAGTTCCCGAGTGCCCCGCAGGACAAGTGAGGCAGGGCCAGGCTGGTGGGGCGGTGCGGGCTTGAGGCAGAGGGACGGACGAGGGACGGACGGCTTTGCTGCTTTCTGTTGGCTTAAGTGAGCCCCGAGGCTTCAAGAGCTGAGATCCATATAATCACTGAGAAAGTGAGAATCAGTCCTGCTGGCAGGCAAACTGAGATAAACAAGGTTTCCAAGGGGACCTGATTATGCTAACACGGCAGAGACACAAAGAAACCCTGGCAAGGCCATGCGGCAGCTGCGAACGTGTCTTACCCTCCTTCTGACGTCGTCCCAGCACGAGCTGGGCACCCGACCAGGCTTCTTTCCAGCACGGCCTCGGTCCCCCGGTGGCAGCGTGCCCCGTCGCCGTCGCCAGGCAAGCAAACGCAGCAGCGGAGACTACAGGAACGTTGTGGGGGTCACTCTCTCTGGTGGATGCAGCGTAGCCATCTAAATCCTAGCCAGCCTCATTCTGACTAGCTTCCAGGCTGCCCACCGAGAGCTTCATACTTAATTGGTGACGTTCCGTGTTCGACGTAAGCCTGTACGACGACTGTCACGTCTGCCACCGTCTTGCAAAGGAGAGAGACTGAGACTCAGGGAGGAAGCAGCAGGCCAGGGACATAGCCAGACCCCACCCCCCACCCCCCACTGCCAGGCTGCACAGCTCCCCGCCAGCAGAGGCCCTGGCAAGCCAGCTGCTCTCAGCGTCGTGAGCGCCAGTGAGGGCAAGAGTGAGCACTTTCACCCAGTCAGACCCGCGAGCGCTTGCCCTTAGTCTCTGTGTTTTACTGCCTTTCTGTGTTATAAAGTCACTAAGTGAATTTATTCAAATTCAAAACTCAAGAGCATCGCATCCTAGGACAGTTGTTCCCAGGAGGACGGGCGGCGAGATGCAAATGCAAACACATTCCCCTTCCCAGCGGGCACTGACCGCTGATGACAGGGGCCATAATGTAGACATGCCATTAGAGGTGGTGACCTGGAGCCAACATCCTCCTGGGCTGAGCAACTGTGACATTTTAAGGGACTCCTGTGGGGCCCAGCTGGGGTTATGGAGTCCCTGGAACCACGCCCTCCCCCACCCCCGTGTAAGGATTCCTCCCTAATGTGTAGAACCCTACGTGTGTCTGAGGCAGCTGTTGTCCTTTGCATTCGTCAAAACAAGGCTGATATTGGCAAAATGATAAGCAGGAAATTGTGAAAGGTCCATCAGTAAACAAAATATTCTTCCACTCAGTTTGGTTTTGACGCCCTAAAGCTGACCCTTGCGCCCCCACCATTCGCTCCAAAGATTACTTCCCCCTCCGAATCACTGTCTGAGATTATCCTTCATCAAGTCCTCTCTCCTTCCCTCAATTAGAAA